CAGAAAAAGGAGCCCGTTAAAGTCCTTTTCTCAACAAGAGATACGCTCCACAGCTCGAGTGTACAACCTCAAGATGAATGAGGATCGAGATGACCCAAAAATAATAGTAGGTATATTTAATTGTATGACAAGAGTGTTTTGGCACTGATCGATTATGGTTATATCTATTCTTATATTAGTTGCAAGTTAATAAGAGAATTGAATATTCAGTTAGAAGCTACTAGGAGTGAGGTGATAGTGACTAATCCTTTAAGGAACAGTGCTCGGGTCAATATGGTGTGTTGATGGTGTCCCATACAGATTCATAGAATTGAATTCCCTGCTAATCTGATGGAATTACTCTTCGATGAATTTGGAGTAATACTGGGAATGGATTGGTTATATCGTTATTACGCTAATGTCGATTGTAGACTGAAAATAGTAATGTTGAGAAGTTCAGAAGGGATAGAAGTCGTGGTATTTAGTGAAGGATGGAATCTATTGGCAAATGTAATATCAGTAATATCGGCAAAGAAGTTACTACTATAGGGATGTCAGGGGTTCATTGCTAATGTGTTGGATGCTAAAGTTAAAGAGAAGGGGATTGAGGAAATTCCCATAGTTTGAGAGTTTCCCGATGTATTTCCTACAGAGTTATCGGGTTTGCCTCCGGATAGAGAGGTGGAATTCCATATCGAAATAATGTCGGGAACAACACCCATTGCAATGGCACCATATAGAATGACCCCGAAAGAGTTACAAGAGTTAAGGATCAAATTACAATAACTATTAGACAAAGTGTTTATTAGACTGAGTATATCACCTTGGGGTGCTCCAGTTCTGTTTGTTAAAAAGAATAATGGATCAATGCGTCTCTGTATTGATTATAGACAACTTTATAAAGTGACCATCAAGAACAAGTATCCCCTCCCCCGAATTAATGATTTGTTTGATCAGTTAAAAGGAGCTTCAGTGTTCTCAAAGATTGATTTATGTTCTGGCTACCATCAATTGAAGATTCAAGATAAAGATATTCTAAAGACGACATTTAGAACGGTCACTATGAGTTTATCGTGAGGCTGTTTGGAGTTACGAATGAACCGGCTGCTTTTATGGATCTTATGAATATTCCAACCCTATTTAGATCATTTCCTAATGGTGTTCATTGACGATATTATAGTGTATTCGAAGTCCAAAGAAGAGCATAGTTCGTACCTGAAGATAGTTTTACAGATTTTACGAGACTTTATACGAAACTATCTAAATGTGAATTCTGGTTGAATGAAGTGTCATTCCTTGGACATGTAATTTCTGCAGAAGGAGTGTGAGTGGATCCCCAAAAGATTAAAGCTATTATAGATTGGGAAGTTCCAAAGAATGTATGGGAAGTTAGAATTTTTCTAGGGTTAGTCGGTTATTATTGAAGGTTTGTTATGAACTTTTCAATAATAGCTTTACCCCTAACCAAGTTATTGAGGAAAGAAGTAAAATTTGCATGGGCTTCGGAATTCCAAGAGAGTTTTGAAAAGTTAAAGAAGATTTTAACAGAAGCTCCAGTGTTAGTCCAACCTTAGTCTGGAAAGAACTTCGTAGTGTATAGCAATGCGTCCCATAATGGCTTGGGATGCGTGTTAATGCAAGAAGACAAGATGGTGGCCTATGCTTCGAGGCAATTAAAACTCAATGAGAAGAATTATCCGACACACGATCTGAAGATGACTGCAGTAGTGTTTGCCCTTAAGATTTGGCGTCACTACTTGTATGGCGAACGTTGCTACTTATATACCGATCACAAGAGTTTGAAATATTTGATGACTCAGAAGGAGTTAAATTTAAGATAGAGAAGATGGGTGGAATTTCTCAAGGATTATGATGTTGTGATTGATTTCCATCCGGGAAAAGCAAATGTAGTAGCGGATGCCTTAAGTCGGAAAACGTTTGCAGTCTTGCGAGCTTTAGATGCCAGACTATTATTAAGTAAAGATGGTGCAATATGTTCGTAGTTGACTATCAAGCCATCATGGTTAGATCGAATTAAAGAATTTCAAGTAAAAGATGAAAAATGTTTGAAGACGCAGCAACAAGTAAAAAAGAGGAGATAAAATATTATTAAATTAAAGCTAATGGGAACCTATATTATCGAAGGAGGCTAGTGATTCTAGATGATGATGAGTTGAAGAAAGATTTGTTAACGGAAGCTCACTGTAGTCCATTGACGATGCATCCTGGAGAAAACAAAATGTATATGGATCTCAAGAGTCGATATTGGTGGCCTGGAATGAAGAGGGACATTACGGAATTTGTATCTAAGTGTTTAACTTGTCAGCAAGTCAAAGCTGAGCATCAGGTTCCGTTGGGACTGTTTCAACCAATGTATATTCCTCAGTGGAAATGGGAGAACGTAACAATGGATTTTGTAACGAGGTTACCTTTAACTCCAAACAAAAGAGATTCAATCTGGGTGATCATAGATAGATTGACTAAGTCAACTCATTTCATTCCAGTGCGGACTGATTTCTCCATGGATAAATATGCTGAGTTATATATTAGAGAGATCATTAGATTGCATGGAGTACCTGTTTCCATAGTTTTTGATAGAGACCCTCGATTTACTTCGAGATTTTGGAAGACGTTGCATGGAGTGTTAGGAACTCGATTGAACTTCAGCACCGCATTTCATCCTTAGACAGACGGACAGTCTGAGCGGACTATCCAAATTCTGGAGGATATGCTATGAGCTTGTGTAATAGAATTCAAGGGATCGTGGGAAAGATATTTGCCACTTGCCGAATTTGCGTATAATAATAGTTATTAATCAAGCATCAAAATGGCTTCCTATGAAGCTCTTTATGGAATGAGATGTCGTACGCCCTTGAATTGGTTCGAGCTTAAAGATAGAGAAGTTCTCGGTCCTGAGTTGATTCTGGAAGTAGAAGAAAAGGTTCTAGTGATTTAGAGTAATCTCAAAGCAACAGCGGATAGACAGAAGTCATATGCAGATTTAAAGAGGAATGAGATAAAATATCAAATTGGAGACAAATTATTTATAAAAGTATCTCATTGGAAGAAAGTTTTGAGATTCGGACGTAAAGAAAAGCTTAATCCCAGGTTCATCGGACCCTATGAAATTGTTAAGAGAGTTGGACCAGTGGCATATCAAATAGCTTTGCCACTTGAAATGAAGAAGATTCATGATGTATTTCATGTCTCAATGCTTCAGAAGTATCGATCTGATCCCTCCTATATCGTGACTCTAGAAGAAATCGAGGTTCAACTGGATTTGACTTATGAGGAAGAACCGGTCCAAGTCTTAGCTAATGAGGTTAAACAACTAAGGAATAAGACTATTTCATTGGTTAAAATGTTGTGGAGGAATCACAAGGTAGAGGAAGCAACGTGGGAACGTGAAGAAGATATGAGGAATCAAACCCCCATCTCTTTGCGAAATGAAAATTCAAGGACGAATTTTCTTAAGGGAGAGATTTGTAACATCCTCAATACCGGGTTAGTGACTAAATTGTAAAGTTTCAGAATTTGGTGATTAAAGTAGAATAATTGAATAATTCAAGGACTTATGTGAGAAATGTTGTGTAGGGTTTAATTGAAAAGAAGGATGAATAGAAGGAGAAAATGGTAAATTACAAGGAAATAATTAAATTATGGTTATATATTAACCACGTGGAAGTAAAGGAAACAAAAACAAGGTTTCCAGAGTTCTCTTATCCTCCTTTCTTCTTTGTGCGTGAAGGTCCCAAGATCAAAGGTGAGTTCATGGTTAGTTAATTTCTTAATGAATTCAAGGTTGGTTTATAATCATGAGATGATAAATAAGCTTAAGGAATGTTTAAGTCATCTTAAAATCAAAGGATGAAGGAGTTAGGAGAGATTAAATAGTAGGAGTTCTTAAATGAAATCTTGGAATAGAGTTCATGACTAGAATTGGAAGTTAATTTTGACTTGTCATCAACTCAATTAAGACATATAAAGTGTAAGAATTAGATTTTGAACATGTTGCAAAGTTGGTGTAATTTTTGAATTACATATGAAGGATAAGATTTTGAGGTTAAAGAGGTTATTATTTAGTATAAATGAGTTTAAACATGAGTAGATGAACTAAGAATATGTGAATGAATGAAATATGAAGTGTTGAGCTGAAAATGAAGTGATTTTCGTGCTCAAAATGTAATTATGGGCTAGGGTGTATCGGTACCCATTCCATAAGTACCGATACATCAGAAGAAATGCGGAAAAATATTCAAAGGGTATCGATACCTTCAGGGGTGTATCGATACCCCCTTGAAACGAAAAATTTCGAGTGTAATTTGGGTATCGATACACTGCCTAGGTATCGATACGCCCTTAAAATGAAAAATTCGAATGTAATTTGTGTACCGATACATAGGTAGTGTATCAATGCATACGTTAAGGGATATATCGATACACTACAGAGTGTACCGATACCTACCTTAAATAGGAAATGAAAGTAGCCTTTCTTTTAGTTTAAGAAATGAAAGATTATAGTATACCAATTAGAATACGAATATGTACCAATGTATTATTATGTAGATATAGAAATTAATTCTGTTCCGGAACAATCGAAGAATTATGATCGAGTCAAAGCAAACAAGGTTAAGGTGAGTGCATACCTTAGGTAGAATTGTATGAAGATAAGACTTGCGATAAGTCTATCTCTTATAGTTGAATTTATGATTTTATACTCATGTACATGCATATATATGTTACTGTTATAGTGAATTCATGCATAATTCATCCATGCTTTAATAAGATATTTTATGAATGAATGCTATTATAAGAGAATCAATCCAAGTATGTGAAATAATGGAAATGATCATATGTGTGCATATGAAGTGAATTATGTGTTTATATGGAAAGTGATCAAAGAGATATAGAAATGAGAAATGTATTCATATTTAAGCCCATGTTATTTAATATGAGAGATGTAGGTATAATTGGCATGCCAAGAGTCGAGGGATTATCAGTGGTCATTCGAGACATAGTGAATGTAGTTTATAGGTAGTCCAGCAACAGTTAGCTAAAAAACTCCACCGAATATGACAGGCCACTTGCCTAATTTACCTTCCATGTACGATTTTCAAGCATTTTTAGCTATTGCATTTCCATGGTGTACTGTTTTCCTTTTGTTATATATATATAGTATTCTCTTTTATGTATTGCAGTTATTGTAATAATGCAGGCGTGATCCTGATTTCATGGAGCTGGTATGGGAAAATGGTGAAGTTCTCATTCGAGGTTCATCGTCGAAGATAACTAAGACGATTTCCCCGTTCTCGTCACATTATTTGTATCGATCGAAGTCTCGAATTCGACTAATCGAAGGGAAAACTTGTAACGCCAGTGGATCAAAGGATGGGGTTGCAGATTCTACGTTAGCCGATCCCATATCGGATATCTCCAGTGCTGTTCTGGGATCCGATAAAAGATGTTACCATAAACAAAGCGACTTGCCTAAACTCATAGCAGACCACCAGGCACACGGTTCTTCCTTGAAGCAGCAGCATGAAACTTGGGATATGGGATCGAAGGAGGAGAAAGATAAGGTGAACTTTTCCATGTTCTTAAGCTCCGGTGCAACAAGAGCAATAAGCAGTCAAGGACTAGCTGCAGGAGCTGAGGATTTACGAGGCAATAATGTCAAATCTTTGCCTCCAAGTGGTGATCCCTTGGAAAACGAAGGGAATTTAATGGCTAAGAAAATGAAGTCACCTCAAAAAGTGTCACATCCGGATGAACAATCCGAAGCCGTTCCGAATACGAGGTTACCTAATGAGGTTCATGAATCCTCAACCTTAGCACCGGATAATACAGGTTTTAAGGGAAATCCTGAGAAAATGGTTGCATCGTCTTCGTTGTGTTCGCGTGGTGCTTCAAACTGTCCAACATACCCTTTGAAAAGGAGATATGAAGTCACTGATCTCAGTAATGTATAATTTCTCATCATCATTTTTCTTCTTTCAATAGCTTTTCTCGTATAACTCATAGGATTTCCATATGTGATGCAGAATACAGATATGGAAGAAGAACCAGAGGGAACGAGGGGAAGCAAAGGTGCTAAGGGAAAGAGAAAAACAGAAGTCCACTACCTATCTGAAAGGGTAAGATCAGTAATACTAGTAACTTACGTGATGCTTTGCTGCCAAAAATGAAATCTGATAAGCTGTTGGGTGTTTGTTTCCTTCTCATATATATAAAAGCGAAGAGATAAAATCAACAAGAAGATGCGTGAACTGAAAGAGCTCATACCAAACTGTACTAAGGTGGATAAAGCTTCGATGCTTGATGAGGCAATCGAGTATCTAAAGACCCTTCAGCTTCAAGTGCAGGTAGTCTTTTCTAGTTCTTCCATTACAATTTATTCTAATGTGTAACCAGAGTGCTAACCATGGGATGTTGGAGCAGGTGATGTCAATGGGAAATGGGGTTTACATGCCACCGATGATGTTCCCGTCGCCTTCAACAATGCAACATATAAATGCTCAACATTTGGGTGGCTACTCTCCCATGGCTGTTGGGATGGGTATGAGGCTGCAAATGGGTGTCGGCTGCGGCGCTCCGCTGCAGTTTCCGACTTCACTAATGCCAGGAGCAGCACCTATAACTGGGATCCCAGAAGCTACACTCAACATGCTTGGGTTAAGACGTTCACCTTTTGTATCTTCGGCTGGTAGTTTCATCCCACAATCGGTCCAATCTCAATCTGCGGCGACGGCTACGATGACACAAGTGAATCATATTCCAGGTGGTTCTAATCCAACACATTAACTCAATAATGCTGAACGGTTCCTTATGACGTTTAAAAAGACTCCAGGTTTCCTGTAATCAGGTTAGCTCACTTACCATATACAGGTTATGTTCTCTTGTAAAAGGGGAGATTTTGATATATATGGTTTCCTGTTGCTTGTTTCAGCTGTTACAGTCATTGAATGAGGTGTATTCACGGAAGGTCCCTTTTCTCAATCAAGGCATTGAAACTGTATTTTCATAAAGAAAAGCACTGTTTTCTATTTTGTACATTACCAAAGGAATGTACAAGCCTCATTTTCCAGCTATTTAGCTTGAGAGCTGAATTAAATAAACGTATTGATGATAAAATGGAGTCTCAGTGTTTACTAGACCAGCTTTAATTAACAATTATCAAATAATGAATGGAACTTAAAGGATGGTACATTAATTACGGTTAATGAGAAGGTCGTATTGATTGTCTCACTTAGAAACGAACGTGAAATTTTATGTTGCAGAAGAAGAATTTATAAAATTTTAGGACGAAATAAATAGATTATCAATAGAAAATATGCAACAAAAAAATCTAAAATTTAGATTAAATTGAAATATTAGACGATGATTACCCCTATTCAGATCCCTCAATCTATCTTTACTATCACCTAAAGACTCAAAAATTTTATGGTATAATTCACCCTTTTGTGAAACTTGTAGATCCTTCAAATGAACTTATGTTTCATGATTAGGAGTCCCTTTTTGTTAGAATTATGATTCAACTTCTTCTTGGATCTGGCCATAAAATTGAAAACAAAACATTGGTAATAGTGTGAGGCTTGCGAGGCAAACGAAACAGTATATTATGTTTAAAACTCTTAACTCTTCTGTCGCCTTTATATTGATTAAGAAAGGAAACTCAATTAGAGTAGAATTCTTCCAATGCAAGTTTCCTTTGTTTTCTATCCCTATAAATAGAAACTACGGAATAGAGTTTTGAAATGCAACAATTGTAATATAAATCTTGCACTTCTTCAATATAGTGAAATTTTCTTCTCTTCTATCTGTACATTTTTTTCTTTTGAGTTTTCTACATAATTTTTGATGTTCTTTATTTTTTTGTTCGATCGTTTTCGTTTGCTGTTATTTTAATTGATAACTACAAACACTTTATTTAAGATATTCATACTCTATATATATATAGGCTACTTTCTTCATTTATTTTAATTCTCTTGTGCTTTGAAATATCTTCGGTACTGAGCTAAATGGACCGCTTTGTACATGTTCTGGTCCCTGCAACTTAAATTAGGAACTTAAGAATTTTATGGTGGGTGTTATAGTGATGATGAAGAGGGGTTGAATGCAGTCACACCGTCCCAATAGATTTGAAGGTCTTATTCTACATACTAAGATGAGGTCCTTAATATAATACCCCAAATATTACGCCAGAGATTAAATTGAAAAGAATTAAAATTTGAAGATTTACTTGAATAATTGGTAAAAGATGAGAAAATGATTTAGAATAGTGTTTTGAACTAAATTGTAGCAATAGATGAATTAAGAGGATATTTTGGTCATTTAAGGGGGAAATGAATTTTAAATTCATTTTCTATAGAGTATTAAAGAAAAAGGAGAAAAAGCGAATTTAGGTTATGAAAAAGCCATCTCTCTTTTCTTCTTCTTCCTGTGGAAATAGGTCTCCCCTATATCAAAGGTAAAATTTTAATTGGTTAGTGTTTCCTTTCGATTATGGTTGGTTCTTGCAACTTAAGTGTTATGTAAGCTTAAGGAAATGTTATATGAGATTAAAACTATGAAATGGAGGAAATATTAGAGATTTAAGAAAATGGGTTTTTAAATGATATGTTGATATATGAGTGTTTATTGATGTTTATTGGTAGAATTAACTTGTCAAAGAGGTAAATGAAAGATTAGAAGCATTGGATAGAATTAATAACATACTAGAAAAAGTGGTGTGATTCTTAGAATTGAATATTCTTGGAAGATTTTAGATGTTTTAAGAAACTAAATGAAAGAAAGTTAGTATGGATAGATAAATAAGATCTTAATAGTATTGTATGGTGTAAACATATTGAAATTTGACCCCATTTGGGTGATAATCGGCCTGAAAACTGGGAATTCTGAGCATGAGTATCTATAATGATAGAGCAGTACCGATACTATAGGCTTAAAATCAGTAGAATTTGTAGAGTAGTATCGATACCGATTCAAGTGGTATCGATACCAAGAGGGGAGTATCGATACCATGAGGATGGTATCGATACCATTGATCACAGAATGCAAAAATGATATCGGTATCGTAATAGAGTATCGATACCATAGTATAGTAGTATCGATACCATGGTGGGGGTATCGATACTAGTGAGCCAAAATGTTAAAAATAGGCTGATATTGTTTTAGAAAGTTAATAATATGTACTATTGAGTAACGTTTGAGTATAATTGTTAGGAAATGTACTAACAATTGACATTGTACGTGTCTTTATGGGATATTTGAGTAGATCGAAATCAAGATCCCGATTCAAGCAAAACTAAAGACAAAGGCAAAGTACCGGAGTGATCAACTTTGCATTCTGGGTATAATAGAGAGATAATCCAGGTGAGTGCATTTATTATGTACATATATGTTACTGTAGTCATAGAAATATGATTGATTGATATATGTATGGTGATTACCAATTGGCACTGAGTGTGCAAAAAGTTAAGAAATTCATACTAAGTGTATAAATTTCCGTATGGGCACTTTGTGTGCAAAACTGAGAAATTCATACTACGTGTATGAATTTCCGTATGGACACTATGTGTATGAACTAATAAATCTATAATAAGTGTATGAATTTCCGTATGGGAAATATATGTGCAATTATCAGAAGTTCATAATAAGAAGGTGAATTGTCGTATTGGTAGTGGGTGAGCAATCCACGTAAATTATAATAAGATTGTGTGATTACTACATTGGCACTATAGTTATAAACCATATAGTGTATAATGATTTGAAAGTGTTAATTGATATTATAAATGATTATTATAGTAGAAACTGTTCTAAAATAAAAGATAAATAGCCTAACTGTGCAATTAATAGAAAGGTGTCAATTATGTCAGTTATATGAAAGGCTAAGTGCCTTTAAAGCCTAACTGTGCATTTGGAAGAAATGTGTCAATTATGCCAGTTAGATGAACGATTAAAGACCATTGAGTAAAAGATAAATGGCCTAGATGTGAATTTGGCAAAAAGGTGTCAATTATGCCAGGTAGATGAACAGTTAAAGATCGTTGAGTAAAAGATAAATGGCCTAGTTGTGTATTTGGCATAAAGGTGTCAATTATGCCAGTTAGATGAACAGTTAAAGACCGTTTAAAGACCGTTGAGTAAAAGATAAATGGCCTAGCTGTGCATTTGGCATAAAGGTGTCAATTATGCCAGTTAAATGAACGATTAAAAACCGCTGAGTAAAAGATAAATGAGCTAGCTATGTATTTGGCAGAAAGGTGTCAATTATGCCAGTTAGATGAACGATTAAAGACAACTGAGTAAAAGATAAATGGCCTAGCTGTGTATTTGGCAGAAATATGTCAATTATGCCTGTTAGATGAACAATTGAAGACCGTTGAGTAAAAGATAAATGGTCTAACTATACATTTGGTAGAAAAGGGTCAATCATGTAAGTTAGATGAAAAGTAAATGCCTTTGGGTAAAAGACTAAAGGAATTATAATGCATTTGGATATAAACGGTGCATAATTGGTATGAAAAGATTTCAAGTAGATATAAAATGTACAACAATCCATAATTGATATGAATGGATGTCATAAAGGAAAAATGTAAACAATACATAATGGGTATGAAAGGATGCCCAAATAAAAATACAAAATTGTGTATTAATAGTAGTTAAGGTGTTGCCCAAAGACACATGATCAATTGGCACTTTGGTGCAATACATGTATAGTACGTTCTAATTTAACGTATACCGTGCAAATAAAGAATAATTGTGGAATAATATATAGAAGGATAGATAGGATGGACCTACTAAGAATAACTTAGATGACTTATTGAAAGCATTATGGTGTAACTGAGAAAGGCTTATATGGTCATTTTGGATTTTACAATTTAAATCGTTATTCAATATTCATAAGATATTTATGTATAAGCTTGATATCTTTGCAGTATTATGTCTCACTAAGTAAATACTTAACGTGTGTTGATTTCACGCGTAGGTAAAGGCAAAGATTAGTTGCTAAGGAGTGCAACAGTAGCATCAACGATCATCAATTAAGATTGACCCGTCAGTAACGTTGGGACAATCTTATTCCTTTTGAAAACTTAGTTGACATGTAATGGAACTAAATAAATATTTTGTAATTTATTTAAATTGATAGTTTTAATATTTTTCTTATATGAATATCATACTTTGAGGTTGTTAAAAATTGAAACAAAATTCTACGGTTTTTCAAATGACCAAATATTTTAAAAGTGATGTGACATTTGTATCTCGCGTACGGAAAGGTCTACGGGAGATGGGTGTTACATTTATTGGTATCAGAGCTAAAAGTTTTGCCGACTCTTGGCCGAAACTAAGTTCAATCGAAATGAGAAAAAGAAATTATATGTCATTAAGATTGTCAAGGATATTGATATGGTGTCATTAGAGTGTACTTGATGACACTCCTTACTAACTATAATGTTGTTACTATGTATGTTTTAATAGATGTTAGAATCCTCGAACTTGCGTAGAGCGGGGGAACAAGAGATGAGAGAAGGGATTGATAGCGAAAGTTACAGAGTTAATAGCGAGCAATCGGTTCCATCTGAAAATGTTAGTGCGTCTGCACATCAAGGGATGTCGGTACCAGAGTATGCAGCTTTTATGCAAGCTCTCAACACTATGTTGACCCGTTGTCAACCTCTTCCATCTCCCTCTACTCCTCCAGTACTTA